CCATTCAACTTGGTCCAGACTGTATAACATTGACCTGGACTTCCTCCGAAGGGCCAATGCTCGGCTCTGGGATGAAACCTACTTCGATGGTTCGTTTAATCTCTGAGTTGATGGCGGAGGCTAGGCAGACAAGGGCATTTGCATCTGTGTTCTGATCACGTGTTATCTGGTTCAATTCATGATGGTCGAATTTTTCCAGCAAGGAGTTGGCCGTTTTCATGTAAGCCGCCATATGGTCGTTTCTTGCCGCGTACTCCCCTTTTAGCTGATTGATCACCAGTTTTGAATCGCAAATACAAGCAAACGCTGAGCACCCAAAAGATGTGCATTCCGCAAACCGGCTAGAAGGGCTTCGTATTCGGCTTCGTTGTTTGACACTTCGAAGCCGAGCTTGACGGCCTGCTCAATTATTGCACTGTCGGGAGCCATGATTACAACTCCAGCTCCGCTGCCCCGGTGATTGGATGATCCATCACAGTACAACTGCCAAATGTCTCTAACATAAATTCTCCAGTTGGGCTCCAGACGAATCTCATCGGGTTTGAAATCGGCAAGACCCCCAGTGAATTCGGCAACAAAATCGGCAAGTACATGTCCCTTGATTGAGGTTATGGGTAGAAACTGAATGTCGTACTGGCCGAGTTCAAGAGCTCACTTTGAAACACGTCCTGATGCTTCTACACTTCGTAGTACTGATCGGAGGGGATAATCTGTTAGCACCCCAATGCTATGTCCCTAGAAATAATGCATCAGTTTTCTTGCCGCCATGACTAGGGCTAGGATGAGTTTTTCCAGCGGAAGGTACCGTGTTTCGGCGTCAACCATTGCTTTGCTCACATAATACACTGGCTGCTGCTCCCCCAGCTCTTCCTTTATCAGTACGGCGCTGACAGCCTTGTCAGAAACTGCTAGATACAAAAATGAGCGGGTCACCAGCAGCGGGTGTTGTCAAGAGTGGTACTGAGCAGAGGTAGGCCTTGAGTCCGTTGAAAGTGGCTTCGCATTCGACGGACCATTCAAAAATCTTTCCCTGCCGTAGTGTATGAAAGAATTGTCAGCAACGATCTGTAGACCGACTGATGAACCTGTTGAGTGCGGCGGCCATCCCCATCACTTTTTGAACCTCTTTTACTGAATGAGGGGAGCCGAGTTCCAAGATTGATATGATTTGCCTCGGGTTGGCCTCGATTCCTCGGTGGTTGACAATGTAACCCAAGAACTTGCCAGAGCCGATCCCAAATGCACATTTGGAAGCGTTCAGCTTCATTCCATATTTCCGTAGAATGCTAAATGTCTTTTCTAGATCGGCTATATGATTTTGTTCTTCCTTGGACTTGACCACCATATCGTCAATATACACTTCCATAGTGTGGCCAAGTTGCTCCTTGAACATGGCGGTGACCAGTCTTTGGTAGGTTGCCCCTGCATTCTTCAGCCCAAAAGGCATAACTTTGTAGCAGTAGGTTCCTCTTGGGGTGAGGAATTCAATTTTGTCCTGGTCCTCCGGATGCATGGCGATTTGATGGTAGCCTCTGTAAGCATCGAAGAAGCTCATACGTTGATGGCGTGCCGTCGCATCTACAAGTTGGTCGATTCTGGGTAGGGGAAAACAATCCTTGGGGTAGGCTTTGTTTAGGTCCGTGAAATCGACGCACACTTGCCAAGTCCCGTTTTTCTTCTTCACCCCCACTGTATTAGAGAGTCATGTAGGGTAGGTCACTTCCCTAATTGCCCCGGCGTCAAGTAGCCTGTCAACCTCCTCAACAACGGCGGTAGTGTGCTCTGTGGCTGACCGCCGGTTTTTCTGAATGATCGGCTTGCACTTAGGATCGACATTCAAATGGTGCTGTGAAACTGACGGATCTATACTCGGCATCTCATACGGAGTCTACGCAAAGACATCGAGGTTACTGAGCAAGAAAGAGATTAGCTGCTGTTTGTCGGCCTGATTTAGGGAGGCGCCGACCATGAAGAACTTGTCTGGGCTTCCATCGATTTCAACTCGTTCTAAGCCTTCCGTGGCCTTTTTATTTGGGAGCCGCCCAACATCGTCGAGGCTCTCTCGATCCGGCACCTCAATGGAATTCACCTGTAGTTCCTTTGGCCTTTTTTCAGCAAGGAGATAACATGCTTGTGTCGATTTCTAGGAGCCACGGATTTGCTCAATACCGCGTTCTGTCGGGAAGCGTAGCAGCTGATGATAGGTGCTCGGCATGGCCCGCATAGTATGCAACCAGGATCACCCCATGATGAGATTATACGGCGACGACAGCTTGACGACCAAGAATTCCACATCCATTATTTGGGAACCTACTCGAACGGGTAGTCTGATTTTCCCCAACGGGTACTCTGGATTGGCATTGAAGCCGAATTGTGGATAAGGGGCCGGAGAGAGATCTGATTCGGAGAAGCCAAGTTTGGTAAATGTCTTATAGTACATAATCTCCGATGTGCTCCCCGGATCAATGAGTACGCGCTCAACTGTGAATCGGTTCACGTGTAACTCAATTATCAAGGGATCAATGTGGGGTAGTGTTACTCTGGCCAAATCTGAATCATCAAAAGTAATAACCTCGGCTTCATGGGGCTGTTTAGCCGGAGTGAGTCGGTCTTGAGGGTTAGACTTCGACTGAATCGTATGCACCGCCGATGACATTGGCAGGCTGTATATCATGTGGATCACGCCGAGCGGGGGTGAATCCTGTCTCAAGGCTTTTGCTTTGGTTGGGTTTCCTTTTCGGACGTACTGTTGTAGCCGGCCATCTTGTACCAATTCCTCTAGGAGGTCCTTCAGTGCATAACAACTATCAGTATCATGGCCATGGTCCTTGTGGTACTCACACTGTCTATCCCGTCTTCTCGTGTCGGGTGGTCCTAGACTGTTTGGAAATATTTTGCTCATCAAAGCCTCAGCATCCGCATGCAATGTCATGGCTTGCGTGTAATGGCGGATGTGATCGGTGGGGTCTGATTTACCGTCGTACAAGGTGAATGACGGTGCTTTGAATTTCTTGGGTAGCACTGCCTTTGCGATCCGTCGTACAGAAGGATCATGTTGATCTTCATCCGAACTGTTTCTTCTTCGCTTATGCCTTATACGGGGACTCTCTTCAGAAGAACTGGAAGTTTCAGATCGCCCCTTCTTCCTGAGCTCTAGGGATAACGAGTCAGAGTCGCTATCAGTGTCGTCTTGTCGGGCTCGAGGTCGTTGACCACCTGCCTTTGGAGATCGTTCCGGATTTAGGCGTACAGCTTGTTTGGACTTCGCCACTTCCAAGGACAAATCTTCACGAAGACGTTCGTTCGCAGCGATCATGTTCTCCAACCTCTGTTCATTTTGCTTTGCTTGTTCCATGATCGCCTGCATTGTCTCATGCTCCGTAGTCGAGGGTGAGGCGAAGTTCAAGGCACGTCTTGCGGCGATAATCTCCGGTCCAAGCATGTTTGTTGGAGTGAGGTCGTCTCTTTGCGTGGTTTTATCAGTGACTATTAGAGGATCTTCTGTTACGCCTGCCATGGATATATTTGAGTATTCCCACAGACGGCGCCAATTGTGGAGAAGTGGTTTGGAAATACTCTTTTGATCTTGGGGGACGCTAGTGATCCTCTTCTAGTCACCTGAAAAGGAATAAACACTCCCGTCAGGAGTTCCGGAATTAGCACTCCGACAGGCAAGTCAGTCTCTAATCTCTGAATTGCTTATATTTAATTGTAATAATTCTCACATACCTCTTACTGGCTAATATTCTTCTATTTATATCCTTTCTCTCTTGGGCCTCGGGATTAGGCCCACTTTCTATTCGTCATTCGGCTTCCTTTGTAGCGAATTGCTTTTTACTTGGCCCTTGCCCTATTCGGCTATTTGACTGAATAGGGTAGGATTTGGATGTGGGATGAAGCCGAATACTATACATACATTCCAATTCCCCAAGTTCATATACTTGGCCTTTTTACAACCCCCATTATTCGGCCCCCACAGTAACCAACCACAAAAGCTTTTGCAACACATGATTATGTGGTTGGTTTTATGGTTGATTCTATATTGCATTAGCAACGAATAAAATATAAATTGTACTTCTCCCTATGAATTATGTTAACAAAATTTGAATATAAAAATTTAATTAGTAATTTTGCATTTAAAAAAGTGAAAAAAAATGAATTTTAAATAAAGAATTACAATGGAAAAATTTACAGAGGGCCTTGCTCAGATTTTTTGCCGTAGGCCTCATATAGACTTGAGCTGCCTGCACGGGCACTCTATACGTACATGCACTGGCTGGACAGGGTTGCTATAGGGCTTTGTAATGCCAATGTTAATTCTTGCCTACTTTGGACTACTATGTGTGTTTTTGTGTGCACGCATAAGTGAGAGAGAGAGAGAGAGAGAGAGAGAGGAGTTGGTGCTTTGGTTGACTTCCTCTTGTGCGTGAGCAATGATTTGGGAGGTTAGTGAAGAATTGTGCTAGTTGAACTGACACTAAAGATAATCCAGATCATCAAGATTGCTCTTTACATTTGTATAATTTTTTGTAATATTTGTAGTTTTTGTCAGTATATATTCTTTTTATTGTTTTATTTACTATTGCTTGTCAATGCATTGGAACTATCTTTATATGCATATCCCTTTTGTGAATGTGCATGCTCTCGACTATACCTCTAAGTCTTTCACAAGGTAACCAAATCATAGATTTTTGGTATCTCTTGGCAACATTGATTATTGTTTATATGAATTTTTCTATTTGAATTTATAACATAGTCATTGATTGTTCTAGGTAATTGCAAATAGAGCTGCTGAAATTCTTGGTCACAAGCGAGGTGAAAATTTTGTGAATCCAAATGACCATGTGATTCCTCTTGTGCGTGAGCAATGATTTGGGAGGTTAGTGAGGAATTGTGATGGTTGAACTGACACTAAAGATAATCCAGATCATCAAGATTGCTCTCTACATTTGTATAATTTTTTGTAATATTTATAGTTTTTGTCAGTATATATTCTTTTTATTGTTTTATTTACTATTGCTTGTCAATGCACTGGAACTATCTTTATATGCATATCCCTTTAGTGAATGTGCATGCTCTCGACTATACCTCTAAGTCTTTCATAAGGTAACCAAATCTTAGATTTTTGGTATCTCTTAGCAACGTTGATTATTGTTGATATGAATTTTTCTATTTGAATTTATAACACAGTCACTGATTGTTCTAAGTAATTACAAATAGAGCTGCTGAAATTCTTGGCCACAAGCGAGGTGAAAAATTTGTGCACCCAAATGACCATGTGAACAGATCACAATCTTCTAATGACACGTTCCCTACAGTAAGTCTTATGAAACGAACTTGCTGAACTGCTTATTGATCGTCTTTGTGGAATGTTTGATCTCTACCTGGTTTGTAATCGATTGTGTTTTATTTACAGGTGATGCACATTGCTGCTGCAACGGAAATAAATTTGAGATTAATACCAAACCTGAAAACTTTACAAACTTCAATACATTCCAAGGTTTAGTTATGTTTCTGTAATCCTTAAAAGCTCTTTTTTAATATAATAGCTAAATGCATTTTTACCACTAATGACGTCTGTATTACACCTGCTGATTTTGTGATTGTAATCTGTGTAGGTTGTTAAGGTTTTGATGCATCACTAACATTGGTAGTCAAAATTTTCTATGCTGTATGGACAAAAAACTGAAAAAATTTGGAACATTCGTGTATATATATATATATTCCTCTTTTAAGTAGCTACGTGTGGTGTACCGAGGGCATGCAGCGAAGCCACATTGTGCTTTTTGGTTATTGTTCTGTGTGGAGCATTTGATGAAGTTGTTCATGCATCAAGCTTGCATTTCACTTTTTCACCCTTAAGAAGCTCATGATTAATTGAAAATTTTATTGGTCAATGGTGTGGGTTTAGCATGTCATGTTCACTGAAATAATTTATGACTATCCATTTTCTACTTCTTCATAGGCTGCAACTATCTGCTGAACTATTATATTTGGCAACTTCAATTATTTCTCGCGTCATTGTTTGTTTACAATAAATCATAAACCTTGCTTTGGTTTTATGTCACATATGACATGAATGATATAGTAATAAATAAAAACATTAAGAAATTCTCAAGAACTTTTAGCTAACCAAAATGTGCAAATCATCATTTCTTTGTCTACAAAGGCACTTAAATTTACTTAAAATCTTTCATTTTGTATTCTGGACCTATGTGACCTGAACATGGATTGTTCCAGTGCGTGGAATAGAAACGGGAACATGGTACACTCCATACTCTAAAATGCGGTACAAACTTGTATAACTTGATGAAGAGATTGGTCTCTTACTAAGGTTTTACCAGCACTGTTAAATGCTGTATCTTGGAAAGTTTAAGTACTAACAATTGACTTGTTGGAAAGATTAGAATTTATACGAGAATAGAGTCTCGGATATAGTGCAAAACCATGTTAACTAGAACGTGGATCTCTCTAGTATGTGGAACGGGAATGAGAATGTGGTACGCTACATGCTCTAAAAATGTGTTAGATAGGGAATAGAGTTGTATAGATTACACTATAAGAATTGAAGGTACTTTTACACATCTAATAATTGCAGTTTTGTGTTATGACCCAATTTTGACGTTTTGTCCTATCAAAACTTTACTCATCTTAGATTAGATTAGATTTTAGTTCATTATATATGATTTTTTTTTTCTCCTAAGGAAAATATATTGGAAAAAACTTTTGGGATTGCTTCGGCTCACTAAATTTACTGTTAGTTCCAACATGAAATTTGCTAAACTATTAGCATTTCCTGGCAACACTAGTGCAAAAAAGAAAAATTACTAAGGTGGTTTGCAAATTGCTTTTCCTTATGACATATAATCAATCTTACAGGGATGTAATATTTTCCTGGCTGATCTTAATTATTTGTACCTGTAAAAGGATTTTGGTGATGTGTTTTTGACCTTTATGTTCATGTATTCTCTTTTTTTATTTGTCATGCTTCTATTATTGTCATAATGTCTCTACTAGTCCTACTACAACTATGATTGCGACTACTAATCGTGCTTATTTTCTTTTTCTAGTCAGTTGAATTCAAAGATATTATTAAAATCGGACGTACTCACACCCAAGATGCAACACCTTTGACTCTTGGGCAAGAATTTAGTGGATATACCACACAGGTAAGCTTACTTTGCTATCAAACTTTTGGAGTGTTGGCTTTTACTATGAAATGGATTTCTCCCAGTTGAAGGAACAAAACAAGCCTTAATTATGTTGGAAGGGATTCCTTAAAGCATGCTCTTTGGTTGTTGGTGATATATGGTATTGACCGAGTCATGTGCACCCTACCTCGCATGTATCAGGTTGGCAATTCATATATATATATATATATTTTCTGTTTTACCTTTTTTTTTTTTTGAGATCTTAAATATTGGAGGTGTCATGTGAGCAGCTTGCACAGGGTGGCACTGCTGTGGGGACTGGATTGAACACAAAAAAAGGGTATGTGTTACAATATTTTGTGGTTGTGATCTTTCCCATCCTTTATATGAGAGTCACTGCTCTGTTTTCATTCTTTTGGTTTCATTTCTCTTATAGTTTGAGTTTTCTGCAACCAGTATTCTTTCTATTACTTGTTCCATCATTCTTTTCCATGTACATGCATGGATTACACACGTGGTTACTGTTAGCACTTAGTATGTTTTAAAAAAAATAAAAATTCATGTAGTTTATTTGAAAATCTGGAGATATTCATTTGCCTGAATTATTGAACTTGTGTGCATCCTTGGAGTTGAAGATATATGGGATAATGCTGTGAGAGTTTAATGAAACATATAGCTAAAAATTGTTGAAACAGGATTCTTGTGTGATAACCTGTGGGAATGTGCAATTTTCTTTTCAAGTTGCTATATTGTGTTTCTAAATAGAAATTTCCCACATTAATCAGTGGTGTTAGAGAAGGCCCAATGGCATTGAACCCACCTTCATTTGAAATTAATGAATGTCAGGTCGCTACTTTCTGCCTTGTTATCAAAAAGGGAGTAGAAACTTTGTCTTTGAGAATTGCAAGTTTATGGATCACTTGTTTTTGACAGAGAAAGCAGTTGGTCATCACCTTGTCACTGAGCACATCCAAACCTTAAAAATAATTGGCGAGAAGTCATACTTCAAAGTTCTATCTTAATGATAAGTTATCCACTTAGATTTTTTTTCTTGTTTAGTTCCACATTTCTCAATATTTTTGCCTTATTCAGGTTTGATGTAAAGATTGCTGCAGCAGTAGCAGAGGAAACAAACTTACCGTTTGTCACAGCAGAAAACAAATTTGAAGCACTGGTTATTCTCTGATCTCACTAAATTTTGCTTTTGTTTTTATTATTTTATTATTTTATTTTAATACCTTGTATCCTTCAAGCAAAACTGTTTTGCATGTTCATATATTTTTTGTAATGCCAGGCTGCACATGATGCGTTTGTTGAAAGCAGTGGAGCCTTAAACACAATTGTTGTTTCCCTTATGAAGATTGGGAATGACATACGGTTGTTAGGAAGGTATATATTCTAGTTTGACAACCCTTACTTTCTTTGTTGTATTGCTTTATTTTTGGGGTTTTCATGTTCTTTTCCTTGTCCAGTGGTCCACGTTGCGGCCTTGGTGAACTCATTCTTCCTGAAAATGAACCTGGCAGCAGTATTATGCCTGTAAAAATCTTTATCCTTTTCTCTCATTATTGAACTTTAAAAAAAAAAAAACTAAATTAAACAAAATTATCTCATTTGTGTGAGTTTACTCTATTTCAGGGGAAAGTTAACCCTACTCAGTGTGAAGCCCTTAGTATGGTTTGCGCTCAGGTAAGGTTTAATGTCTTATTCTGGTTTAATTAGATGATAAATGTTAAATGGAGAATTCATCAAGCAGATTTTTTAGGAAATGTAATAATGCATGTCTATAACGTACCGTCATTGACTTATTTCTCTTGGCTGTCACTATCAATTCATTTTTGTGCTTTTTCAACCAATCAACTGTTTCTTTATGTCTCGTAGGTTATGGGAAACCATGTTGCCGTTACAGTGGGTGGATCAAATGGCCATTTTGAGCTGAATCTATTCAAGCCTATGATTGCTAATGCTCTTCTACATGTAAGTCCTGTGATCATTTATTGTTATGATTTTTATTGGAGAAGGCATAGCAGATCATGTAATTTTATTATAGGAGGCACAAATGAAGCTGGTGCATCTGCTAATTAGCCACAGCTGAAACTTAACTGATTCTTCCATTTTTTCTCTCTACTAAAAGAAGTCTTGTCTGTTGAATATATTTTAAAATTTTCTATAATGTTCAACCTGAAATTTATTAGGGTGTGTTTTGATCTTGGATTTGAGTAGAGATTTGGAGAGAAAGGGAAAAAAAACAAATCTCTACTCAAATCCAAGATCTAAACACAGCCTTTGAGTTTCTCTTCAGGGTAAATGAAGGGGACATTTGGGCTACTGGTTGCTTCAAGTGTTGTGGTTTCAAAACCATGTGAAAAGCGTTATGGATTCCCCTCTCACTTAGCATCCTCTGAATGGTGGTTGCTTCAAGTGTTGTGGTTTCAAAACCATGTGAAAAGCGTTATGGATTCCCCTCTCACCTAGCATCCTCTGAATGCAAACTATTAAATTCTGAATTCATGCTTTGACCTGCCTTAAATTTAATATTATCTTAATGGTAATACAGATGAAATTTAGTAAGTCGCCTGAATATATGATGTGTGATTTTATATTCTATTGGGTAGCCATAGATTCATTATTCCTTACTCACCTAGATTTTGTGATGTGTTGTCCGATAGTCGGTGAGATTGCTTGGGGATGCATCTGCTTCTTTCGAAAAGAATTGTGCGAGGGGAATTCAAGCCAATAGGGAACAGGTTTCAAAATTACTGCATGAGGTAAGTAGCCGCAGGCACAAAAGGTGTAAAATTTTAGATCGTATTATATGCTAAAGCCCAAAATTAATTGATCATGTCTTGTTGTTGTGTTACTCTGTATGGTTTTTCAGTCGCTAATGCTTGTCACATCTTTGAACCCTGTAAGTTTTCCTCTCTTTCTCTCTCTCTCACTTGTGGGGGGACATTTGTTTTGAATAACAATATATGTTGTTGCCTCTTTCCAGAAAATTGGTTATGACAACGCTGCAGCAGTTGCCAAGAAAGCCCACAAGGATGGAAGCACTCTGAAGGTGATGGCCTTCTCTCATTTCTTTGCAATGCCAGGGTGTCTTTTTGCTGTTCGATTATATATCCATGACTTGCACTCAGGAAACTTACTATCTTTTTGCAATCAAGTAACTTGGTAATTTTAAATTTTGGAACTCTGCATGCTCAAATTTGACAAAATTTAATCGTGCAGGAAGCTGCTCTAAATCTTGGAGTGCTCACTAGTGAAGAGTTTGACCAACTTGTAGCGCCTGAAAAGATGATTGGTCCCTCAGACTAACCAGCTTGATAAACTTTTAGGGTTTGCAATGATGTAACCATTTTTGCACCCCTTCCCTCTATCAGTTGGAGAGTAGGAAATAAAAATCCAATGGTCATTGTGTCTTTCTGAGAAAACGATATTCTTGAGGTTTTATCTGTTCGGCTCTCATCTTTTGGATCCTTTTCAGTGACCTGGCTGTTGATTGGGTTAATAAGGAGAAAACCTCCCACATTTTTTTGTAATGGAAGAAGTGGATTGAAGGAAAATCAAAGCATAATTTTTAGAAAGAAAAGTTAATTCTCATTCTCATTATCAATATTATTTGTTTTGCAATTGGTATTTGTTTTAGAAAGTTTGTGCATACACAAGCTATATTCATATACATATGGTTCCTTCACTGAAATTGATTTTGAATTTCAGGCAACCACCTTGCAATTGGTCTGCACCGGGTCCCATATAGCTGGAAAAAGGAACTTCCGGCCATTGACGCCATAAGCGTTATAGCTTGCCCTGCTAATTTTATCCACTCTCAGGTCACCTGGATACCCTGGATAAGCTCGGGGGCCGAAAATCGCTGGACATGCTGTGACAGCCTCAAGTGGTGCCAACACATCCCCTTGAAAGTACCCGGAGTTAAAAGGGTTTGTCGCAGCTCCAGCAAGAATTGTTGCGAGGTTCATAATGATGCCAGCTGTACCAACCCCATATAGCTTGCAATTGGTTCCTTCACTGAAATTGATTTTGAATTTCAGGCAACCACCTTGCAATTGGTCTACACCGGGTCCCATATAGCTGGAAGAAGGAACTTTCGGCCATTGACGCCATAAGCGTTATAGCTTGCCCTGCTAATTTTATCCACTTTCAGGTCACCCAGATACCCTGGATAAGCTCGGGGGCTGAAAATCCTTGGACATGCTGTGACGGCCTCAAGTGGTGCCAACACATCCCCTTGAAAGTACCCGGAGTTGAAAGGGTTTGTCGCAGCTCCAGCAAGAATTGTTGTGAGGCTCATAATGATGCCATCTGTACCAACCCCATTGGGAGCCACCAGAGCTGCCTGACCAGGTGGACCATAAGCCGGAAGAGCAGATGGCCTTGAACACAGGCCGGGGCACTGCCTGAAAGGGTCTCCGACGTGTGCATAGACTACTCTTCTCTTCGTTGCTGTTGTTACAACGCTTCCATGAAAGCCGCACGAACTTATGCAAAACTGCTCCACACTGACATCTTTAAAGGTCAGAACCAAGTACACCCCATGAGGATCCAAAGGTAATAATTTGCTATCAATCTTGCTTTTAATATAGTTGGCTATTTGAGCACGTTTGATGTTTTTACCAAGTGAGTATTGAATGTTTCCTAGCTGTTTCGTGAGTGTGAAAGGGCCGGAAACTGGTTTCCCGACCTTGTCCTTGTACGACAAAACAGTATTCCACCACGATGCAACCGTGGACTCCTTGGGCTGTGGATTGAATCCATTGAAGGAAGCAAAGAAGTCAGTGATCGGGGTTCGATCTTTCAGATAAAAGGTTCCATACCAGATGAGATAGATGTTGATGGTTCCGGGTCCAGTAAGGAGTGGACCGCCGTGGTAATTGAGTATGGTGGATGATGGGACTAGAGAAGAAGATTGATCGAGGCTTGTGTTGAGCCCTTGTGAACATGAGACCAACAAGGCAAAGGCAATAGCCATGGTGAAAGAAAGAAGAAAACTAGTCACTAACATTTTGGCCATTCTCAGTTGGGTTGGTTGGTGTTTGGGAATAAAAGAGTGGTGTTTTATGGCTGGCAGCTAGGTTCCTATTTATAGATAGCAGCTATGTCGTTTTGGGTTGAGTATTGAGTGAGAGTGTGTATCCAAAAGGTCAAGACTTGAAAAGATAAGAAAATTTCATATTCTATCCGCGCGAGAGTAAATATTTTATACTAGCAAATATAAGGTTTTTTTTTTTCCTCAAATATTATAAAAAATTTAAAAATTCAAGTATTTAAATTGAATACCTGTGTCACACTTTTATTCTTATTAGGTCTGGAAAAATAACAGAGTCTATGCAATAGTGATTGGTAGAGACTTAAATTAGATTAAACTTAGGTTGTGGGTTGGCCAATGATTGCTGGAGCGTGGCCACAACTCCAAACTCTATTTCGTGGTGGAATAATGCTTGGGATCTCTTTTTGGGGTCACCCCCTCACCCCTCTTTGCCACGTAGCGGGTGGTGATTGGAGGAGTAGAAAAAAAAGAAAAAGAAAAAGAAAATGTAACCAATGAGAGAGAGAGGGGGTCAAAGGGGTGGGAGAAAAAGGGGGGATGAATCATTATTGTTCATGGTGGGGCATGTAATCAATACGTGTGCCAATCGAAATGGTTTTATTATTTGTTAAAAAAAGAAAGAAAAAAAAAAAAAAAAAAAAAAGAGAAAGAAAAGGGTTTTATTAAGGGTTTGTTTGGGATGACCTAAATAAGTACACTTTTTATCTTTTTACGAAGAGATGTACAGAAAAATAGAGAGATGATGTGATGAAAAAAAGATAAAAAAATAAAAAAATAAAAAGATGAATTATTTGGAACTTTCCAAACTTGACCTACGAATAGATTCTCATGCTTATCTTTAATAGTTGAACTAGTAAACTAATAAACTCACTTTATCTTGGTCCCATGCAAATGATTTATTCATTTCCCCATGCATTCTTAATTTTTAACCATTTTTCTAAGATTTTCAATGAATAATTATTCACTAGTCTTGGATTATCATGTAATATTTTTTATTTAGGTGTTGTTTGAGAAGAGTTCTTTTAGTGATTATTGGACTTTTTTATAAGATGAAAAAAAATTATGTGTTTGGGAATGCATTTTTTTTTTTTGTGATTTTTTTTAATTGTATAGAAAAATGTGAAAAACTAATGTGATCTGATTTTTTGTCAGAAATTCTCATTTAATCCTTATTTTAGTTGTATGGAAAAAGTTAAAGCCAGGGTATGTTGGTTTTTTTACACCGGTAGAAGTAATTTTTTTTAGATATATGCCAAACATGTTGATTTTTGGTTTTCTATAGTGATTTTTAGTTTTTTTTTTTTAATGCTAAAATAGCCACTTTCCAAACAAGATCTCAATTTTTATTTATTGAGAATATGACGTAGACAATGCTACATAATACTTTTAAAGTATCTAATAATACTTTTAAAGTATCTAATAATTTTGATTTTCATTTGGGAAGAGTGAATTTTCATATGTGAATCGAATCATTCAGTCTTTTAAGAGGGAGGTGAGTCCCACAATTATGAACATTATTGTTTTAAATTTCATTTTTCTCTCATAATCAGTGATCTGGAGGGAGAGAAGCTCAACCCTAATGATATAAAAGGTGGGACAATATATATGTATATATATATATTATACTTTTTTTAGAACAAAGCACAGCAAAGCAAATCTATTAAGCTAGAAAATGTTGTCTTACAGTAGTTGCAAGGTAGTGAGCATCTTTAACCACATCTCTCTCTATCTTTTCTAATACAACATGATGAAAATATTTACAGTAATACAATATATCAATCAAAATAGATTGGAGACACTAATCATTGTCTTGATCTTGGTTTTGAAATAACAGTACTAGTACTAAGCAATCCGTTTGTAAAAGCAGCCTTGTGATGCTGTGGCTGTATACCCAACGCAAAGCCTGGAGCACTGCAGCCGCTTCTATTTGTTGGGGAGATAGTATTGGTGGCCCTAGAATAGCTTCCTCATAGACCAACTGGTGATTATCAAAACATACCCATGCCAATCCAGTTCGTTCGCCGATCAAGAGCCAAGATCCATCCACAACGATACATATCCGCCAAACATCTACAGTAGGTGGTGCAACATTCCGCAAAATAACCTGATTAGCAATTCTGTTTTGAGGAAAATTACAAGAGTGAGATAGCTCATAGGAAACATGATGCTGTGGTGAAAGAAATATCGATAATAATTTAGTAGTTGTTGTGATCGTGTGTTCAATGGACATAGTTGCACTATGAAATTCAACAGAATTGCGTTGCAGCCAAATAGCCCATAATAAGCCAATGGAATGAATTAAAATCTTTGAGTCATGAATGTGTTGCACCCAACCTCGAAACCATGAAAAGAAAGACAAAGGTCTTCCAACTCCAAAATCTAATCCCAATACCAACCCGCGCCAAACCCTTTGGGAAATTGGGCAATCAAAAAATAAGTGTTCAATAGATTCCTCATGCTGAAAACACCTTGAACAAATTGGATCAATATTCAGCCCTCGTTTCTTAAGTTCTCCTTTCACCGGGAGAATGTTATGAAGACATTTCCACACAAATAAGATCCATTTGGGAGGGATCTTTAATTGCCATAATCGTTTCCATACTAACCAGTCTAGATCAGGCCTACAATAGTCTGGAAAATGTCGGATCAACGCCTGTCTATAACCCGATTTTACCGAGTACTCTCCACATTTGGTCGGACCCCAAACAATTTTATCCTCAATGTCATCCTGAGAAATGTGTATAGATAAAATATAGGGTATAATATGCTTAGGAAAAACAAGTACAATAACTCCATGCGCCAAGAGCGATGTAATGGATCCATGAAATATGCAACCCGTATGTCAAGATGAATATCACTCCATCCTCTGCCTCTACAAGGGTTGGTAACTAGCGGAATCCATTGATCCTCAAGCGGATTAATACGCTGTCCATTCCCCACTACCCACTGAAGCCCGGAGGCCAACAATGACCGTTCCCATAATATACTCCGCCATCCCTATGAAGATGACGACGATTATTTAGTGTCAAGAAAGGAACGTCGTTGACAATATTTACCTAGCAAAACTCGTGAAAACAATAAATTGGGAAAGGACAAAACCCGCTATGCCTGTTTCGCTAATAATGCTTGATTGAAACACGTAAGGTTTCTAAATCCCAGACCGCCCCAGTCTTTCAAAAGGCATAAATATGTCCATTTTTCCAAGATATCCCTTTAGCCCTGGCTGAAGCCCAAAGAAACTGATGAATAATTGATGTAAGCTTATGCTGGAAAGAGTCAGGCATGCAGAAAACAGACATTAAGTACACAGGAATAAATAGAAGGACATGTTTTACCAAAATTCCCCGGCCTGCAAGATTAAAAAAATCACATTTCCATCCTTGTAGCTTGGAACTAACTTTGTTCAAAATTGAAGTAAAGATCTCCAACTTAGTACGCCCTGAGAACCCCAAATTAGCACCCAAATAGATTCCAGGTTTGGATACAACTTTAACACCAAATAGGGAGACAAGCCAGTCCTTGGCTGAATGTGAAAAATTAGGGCTGAGAAAAAGCTCTGATTTATGAAAGTTTATGCGTAGCCCGGAGTAGTGGCAGAATGCATTTAAGAACCAATGGAAACACCAAATTTCAGCTGGCTTATAATTTAGGAATATGAAACAATCGTCAGTGAAAAGCAAATGTGAAATGGGAGGGAGGGACTGCCGACTAATGGCAATACCTCGACAAACATTAAAAGACGCCAAATGCGCAAAACCTTCTGACAAAACTTGCATAACCAACAAAAATAAATACAGCAAAAGGGGGTCTCCTTGTCAGACCCGCAGAAGGTTCAAAAAATTCAGACGGAGTTCCATTAATCAAGACAGCAAATTAGATAGTAGAGACACATTAAGAAATCAATTGAATCCACTTAGCGGAGAACCTCATTTTAGCCATTACCGCCTCAAGGAAAACCTAACTCACTTGATCATAAGCTTTGTTCATGTCCAACTTCAACCCAAAACTGGACAAGCACCCCTGCTTTTTTTTTTCTTCTTTATATATTCAAGAATTTCATGGGCCAATAAAATATTGTCGGAAATAAGTCTACCCTTCAAGAAAGCACATTGGTTATCGGCAAGTAATTCAAGCAGAACCAAACTAAGTCTATTGGCTAGAACTTTAGCGCCTATTTTATAAATCATGTTACACAAACTAATAGGCCGATAATCATTTACAGTGAGTGGGCTCTTCGTCTTAGGAATAAGACAGATGAATGTTTTATTAAGCGGTTTAAATAAGGACCCCGTATTAAGAAACCCCAAAACAGCCTCAGAAACCGAAGGCCCCACAATCGACCAATATTTTTGATAGAATCCTGCTATAAACCCATCCGGTCCCAGAGCCTTAAACTTCCCCATTTGAAAGACAACCTTTTGTATTTCCTCAATGGAAAATGGTTGTTCCAAGAGATTGTAATGATGTAAAGTCAAATGATAATTAATGACACTAAGTAAATTAAAATGGGAGGGAAAGGAACCTGATTCGGTATAAGAATCCCGTGATGGTGAAAAAAGTTGCCGAAAATGCTCCACAAAAGCCCTTTGGATGTCATGCGGCCGGGTGAGAACATGTCCATCCTTATCCTGAATGACAACGATGCGGTTCTTACTCCGTCTCCAGGACGTCACTCGGTGAAAAAATTTGGTATTATGATCCCCCAAAGACAGCCAATGTTGTTTAGATTGCTGAGCCTAATATAATTCTTGCTCTTGTAACAAAATATCAAGTTGAAAACGCAATTCCTGCTCTTTAGAATATAATCCCTGTGTCTATAGCGATCCCTGGACCTGCTGTAAACAAGCTTGAATGTCTTCAATTTGACCTTGTATGCTTCTAAATGACAATGCATTCCAGTTCTTCAAATGCTTGAAAACTATGGCTTGGCGCTGTACAGATGAAGCTGCATCTTGAATGGGCATCTTCCAAGCTTTTTGGATAATATCTTGTGTGGTCGGATCAGTTAACTAAACTGCCTCAAATCTGCTCCACTTCTTGCCATGGGTTTCCATTCGGCTACTGTCAAGGAGTAACGGACTATGATCAGACCTTTGAATAGGCAACGTGACTAATGAAAAATGTATGAAAGCTGCTGTCCAACTAGAAGAAGCCAACACATGATCCAGACGCTCATAAACCACTTCTGACTCTTTTCTATTGTTACACCAAGTATACCACACCCCTTAAGATGGAAGATCAACCAACGTGTTGCAAAATATTAAGTCATTAAAGGCCACTGCTCCAGGAATAATTCGCCTATGTGAACTGAGTTTTTTTGCCCAACCACGAACCTGGTTAAGGTCCCCCATAATAATAAATAACCTTTGAAGGTGCTGAATTTTGGCTTCTACATTACTCCATACTTGGCCCCTAGTTAGAGTGAAAGGAGACCCGTACATGAAAATATTGAACCAACTTTCTTGTACATTGTCTTGAACCTGCAAAATAATGAAGTGCGCATTCCGTTCACATACCTCGACCAGATTACCATCATGCCAACCTACCCATAATCCACCAGCTCTTCCATTACAGTCAACTCCGCAATTATATTTGAATCCCAAAGAATACCCAATTTGATTGACCTGCTTAAAAAAGAAATTTTGATTTAATAAAGTGTTATTTATGATTTTTTAGTGATTTTTTTGGTGTAAATAGAAGGAAAATTATTAGGTACCACATGTCTATACTCCTTTACCAATTATCATTCATCATGCCCTATCATATTCCTTAATCACTGAATACAAAATCATAATACTCCACATTCTCTACCAATCTTAATACCATGAATCACCGCATGGCCGTACTCCGAAATTATCCAATAATCACTCTAAGATCCCCCTTATTCTTTGGGCTTGAGATTTGAGGCCCAAATTCTGAGTCCAAGCCCGCTACAGCCTAAGTGAGGCTCAATATTATATGAATCCGACCCGAAAGCCCAACGCAAGGAAAGCCCTCGACAAAACCCTAGGGCAATCTGTTGCCTGAGATGACGGTGATATAAAACGCTTATCTTGAGCACTCATCCAAGCCTCCCCTCCCTTCCTCATTCTTCCATTTGGAGAGCCCATGGTGTCGCTGAAGCTTCAGAAGCGGCTCGCCGCCAGCGTCCTCAAGTGCGGCAGAGGCAAGGTTTGGCTTGATCCCAATGAAGTCAACGAGATCTCCATGGCCAACTCTCGTAATCTCTCTCTCTCTCTCTCTCTTGAAGATCATTTCACTCTGATCGTTTCGATTCGATTCACTCGTTTCATTTCTGTGCGAGAAACTACGATTTCAATCCGACTTCTGCGCTATTTTTTTTTTTGTATTCTGAACTCTGCTATCATCGATTTACTCGATTGAACCTGTTGATTTGCTGTATTTTTTTTTTTACCATACGCGCGATAATATAAACATTTATGTGTATATGTTTGTGTGTGGATATATATATATATATATATATGTATGTATTAATGCTATTGAAACACTTTACTTATTCGCAAGGTCGCTTGAGGAATTGTTAGATATGAACTGTGTATTTGCATGCTAAAGAATATCGTAGTTAACACATGAATTTTTTTATAATATGAAAAAAAAATAATTATGCAATGGATTTTAATATTTGTGTTGGTTTGAGAAGATTGAAAATTGAAAATTTACAGGTTGGTTTCACTTTAGACTGAAAATTGTCTTATTTTCATAAAACCAGTGACTTTTTACTGAATTGCTCAGCTCTCCAGGTTTCGAAACATTGCTGAACAACCGATTCACGGTTTGATTTGTGGTTACTCTGAAGTACAATATCAATAATGATAAAACTAGAATATCCACTTCTAATTCCTATCTTTACGTGATATATTTGTTATAGTTGAAACAGATCCGTGATTTTGCAAGGGTAAGAGTAAATATTAGTAATCTGTACATGCTGATGTCAGTGTAGTGGTTGCATTTGTGTAAAATTGATGCTCTTAATAGTTAGGGGAAAGTTTATAATTTTTAATAATTAAAATGTTAAAACTTTTTCATGGAACGGTAATTATTTTAGAAAGTACCAACTGAGGTGTAATTTTCCCTAATAGTTAGTACTTGTGTTTTATATAGTTGCATCATTGGTCTTCTTTTTATATCAAGCTTTTGCTCACTTGTATTTTTCTATATTCATATATTTCTTTGGTTTTCTGAGTGCAGGGCAAAACGTAAGGAAGTTGGTAAAGGATGGCTTTGTCATCAGGAAACCAACCAAGATTCACTCACGATCTCGTGCACGCAGAATGAACGAGGCCAAGCGAAAGGGCCGTCATTCTGGATATGGTACTGCTTTTTTATAATGATAATAAATTTGGGAGTATATTATAATTTTTTAGTTCATCGAAGTATTTTGGACCGCTTCAGTAGTGCTAATGATGTCGTTGATGGTGATGTTGTGATCAAGTACAGGAGAAACTTACCTAGGTTTTGATGTTGGTTCCTTGATTGATTTCAGGTAAACGTAAGGGTACAAGGGAGGCAAGGTTGCCCACGAAAATCCTGTGGATGAGGAGGATGCGTGTGCTTAGGCGCTTGCTCCGCAAGTACAGGGAATCAAAGAAAATTGACAAGCACATGTATCATGACATGTACATGAAAGTGAAGGGTAATGTTTTTAAGAACAAGAGAGTTCTAATGGAGAGTATCCACAAGTCGAAGGCCGAGAAAGCTAGAGAGAAGACTTTGTTTGACCAATTTGAGGCTAAGCGTGCAAAGAGTAAGGCGAGCAGAGAACGAAAGATAGCTAGGAGAGAGGAACGTTTAGCCCAGGTAAGATAAATATTAACATATCTAAACTTCTCTTAATCTTTTAATTTAACAAATAAAATTAAGCATAGATCTTGGATGACAGAACAAATTAACATATTTGTTTGTTGTGTTGCCGGCAAAATAAATTTGAATTTTTCCAATTGTTTTGGTCCCATTGAATTTTATTTAATTTATTTGCATTTGTGGCCTATAATCGCTAAGCTGAGCAAGCCATCTTTGCTGCTCTACATCAGAAAATTATATGTTTACGTATGTTATATTCAGCACCACATGCATATTTGTGACCATTTCCCTTCTGGAAAGATGTGTGGCTTCACGTTTGTTAGTGGGTTGGATTTCGTGCAACACTCTCTCTGAATTGCTATTTTTTGATCATTTCAGAATTCAGATGTATTTATTCATTACTATTTTTCTTATAGATGGTGTGGGATGTTGAATTTGAATCTTTTCATTTGCATGATGGTGATTTGAAGATAGATGGATAAAGAAAATTATAAGTTGATAGACCTGAGACTTGAAGTTCATTGTGTTGATATCTTGGGTCGTGGTTTTCAGTTGAGATCATAATTTTCTAAATGGAATACTAAGTTTCTTTTTTAAATCTGCACAGGGACCAGTAGAGAAAGCACCACCTCCCGCAGCATCTGCACCCGCAGCTCAACCCACTCAGTAAGTTTTTCTGACATAATTTTACTAATATATGATCAGGTTGTTTGGATTAGAATTTGACCAAGTGTTCCTTTTGGTAACAGGGCATCCAAGAAATCCAAGAAATGAGATCCGCAATGATGGGAGGATTGATCACTTCACATCTTCTCTGTGTTTCGGTTACTATGATAGTTGTTATTTTTGACCCAGTACGTTTTTGTTTTATGTTCTTTCAGTTATTTTGTGGGATAATGTGTTTTATATCTAGAAGAAGGCTTAAAATCTTTGATACTTGGCTTAACTTAATAGGTTGTTTCTGTTGTTAATGTTGGTTCGTTTTCTTTCATTGCTTCGTGTTGAGTATGCTTGTGATGGAATAAGAATGGCAAGTGTGCCTTGTTTATTTGACATAATATAGCGTGTAGCTTATTATCAAAGAGAGAAAAGACATGATTTCAAAGTTGCAGAGCTTGCATAGCTTATTATCAAAGAGAGAAAAGACATGATTTCAAAGTTGCAGAGCTTGCAGTATATACGACTTCTAGATCCTGAAGGAATTTTGTGATCCGGAAAATTTCTTTAGCTGCCTTTGAGGCTGTTAGATTGTAATTCGGAAAGCGCTACAGATTGCATTACATAGAATCCGAATTTGAATGGACCACATATCATGCCTCTGTAACAAAAATAGCTTTTTCCTTTTTGATGCCTTAATACTTTGAGCAATAACTAGTGCCCTTTTCCACCAGAATTTAGTTTCATTTGGGCTTGACTGGACTGGACAAGTTGGTTTGCTAAATGAAATGTAGTAGTTAGGTGAAGCATTGTCATGCTGGCAGTATTCATGATGATGAAATTGACTCGTGTTGTGTTGGTCTATGATAGTGATGATAAAGAACTAGAATATTAAATCTTTAGCTTTTTAAGTTGACTATGTAGAACTAGAATGTGCAATATTTTATGGTGGCTTAACTTATATGAGGATGTTAATTTAGCAGAAAACTAACGATGGGTAGTAGGTATGGTTTGGGTTGAGAAATTAACTTCATAAATTTTTCATAGGGGTCGTTTATTAAAGCTTTCATATCTTATTTAATGTTTTTGTTTTCATATTTTTGGAAATTGGAAATGAAAATTTGTTTGGCATATGATTTTTTGCTTTTAAAAAAAATAAAAAATAAAATTGATTTCAAAATTTTTAAAATTAAAAATATATATATTTTCACTTGGCCACCATTCAACCATTGGCCACCACCACCCATTAACATTCTGTATCTTTTTGGTGTCTCTCTAACCACTATCTGTCCACTCTCCATCATCAACATTACTTCCAGCAACTCATCAAGTATATTTATCTATTTTCTCTATTTGATCCATTATATTTTTTTAGGTACATTGAAAATTTTCTATTTGATTCATTCAAATAAGATGAAACAGAATGATCATTACTTGACAACACACTTACAAAGATAAGTTCATTTATAAAAATGACATTATTCTTGTGAATTTTTTTTTTTCTTTTTGTATAAATAGTTTTACAAAAAAAATAAAAATAAAGTGATTTACAAACATAAAATATAATACAAAAAACACATACAAAATGATACGTCAATGACATATGTAAATTACAAAGACAATAGTTGGTATTTTGACACAAGGTGCCAACTTATTCTGTGTAGAATTTTTATACTAAAACTTTCTTCGTACATGCTCTTTTGGTGAATAAATTTTTTTAACACAGTTCTGTGGCTACTAGAGAGTAAAAGTTGAATGGAGCCCATCAAAGTCCATTGCAACAAGTCGATTAGAAAATTATTTTGTTCATATACCTGACATAAATTACAGATGGTAATTAATCCAAAACAATCAATCTCTTATTTAAAAAGTATACAGACCCCACCATTATGGTAGACTCCATTGCTTTGTTGTTTATACCTTTCGTCAGGTGTGTGAACAAAATTGAATCCAATCAACTAGGGATTAGCTTTGAGAGTGGGAGCACTTGTGGTAATCAAGAACAGCCTTGGGAAGGCCAAGTCCTTGTGCTGATGTGTTTGCAGATCATACAATAGTGGATATACATACCATCATGAAAATGATTCAGCTACATATTTGCATTTGGATTCTTCCTTAAAAGTTGGGTAAGAAGGAATATTGCCTTCGATGATGCAGCCAGTTTGTTTAGGCTGTGCTGAGCTTTCTGCAACACCCTCCCTCCATTAAAGCCTCCAAAAAATAAAAAACACAAAACACTTCATTGAACAACATCATTACTTGCACAATCTCAGTGTTGCCTTTCGATCTGCCTTGAAACCAATGATTGAAAATCTGCTTCTGTTTTCATCTACAGACTTCTTTGATAACGCGGGAGATCTTTGGCAAAAATTTTATGTCCAATGTGTTCAGCACTCCCTTGATTTGATCTACCTGCAGTTGTGATCAGCAGCGGCATTGATTCATTTGGGCTACTGCAGATTCCAAGATTAGCAATGAATGTAACCGTGGTACCCTTCTCCAAGCCCTCACTATCAATCCAAATCTGACCTCCCATAAGATTTACAAACCTGAATCAATCATTTTAAAGGAGTGAGTGCAACTTACACACAATGCAAATGAAGGAAACAACTTCTTACTCTGCACTATTTTAAGACATCAAAATGGCTATAAATGAGATTAACAGAGCTTCCCATGAAATATATTCTGGGGAAGTGAGTAATAATTCCATATTGATCCGATCTGACCCATATGCTCCAATTTTTAATAAGATTCCAGCTAGAAGCATACAAAGTACTGTAATGCACTTCTTCAGGGTACAATCAGCAATGAAAAAATCCAACATAGAATAGTATTTCCAATGCCACAGGATACGATTGATTGGCTAGTGTTTCAAAATTTAATGTTGGTTCATTAGAATTATATAAACCAACACGAATTACTAATCATGAGTAATACCGTCTGCAAATGGCAAGTCCAAGACCAGCACCACCATTATTTCGACTTGATCCGCTTCGATACTGAGCAAATTTGGTAAAAATGAGTGGGATTTCTTGTGGGATAATACCGCAGCCAGAATCCTTAACCTGCAAAGTAAGGGCAACCGGGGAATGAAGAGTCTTAATTTCCTGCCAGTAACAACTAGCCCGTAGATAATTGGGCATTGTTTTTTTAACAGCTAGCCCGTAGATAATGAAGTAACAGTAATGCTACAGTTACCACATTTTTATACCATATTATGCTTACCACCTTACTTGTCAACACAATCCTGGTGTAATGATCTCATGAACTTCAAATTGGATTTTAATGTTAATTTATTTATTTTACTTCATTTTGGAAGATTTGTGAAGTTTTTTGTTGAGTTTAGACCATTAAAAAAAATAAAGTTCAAAGCCCTGCATCCCTGGACAAATTGCTCAAGTTTGCCACATGAATGAGTGCGCCTCACAGATGTTCATTTTCCATAGCCACAATACAGGTTAGATTAGAAAACCACTAAAATTAAGCCAAGTTAAAAGAAAATGGAGTACTCAACCTGAACTTTTAAGAAGAAATGGCCGTCACTTGACAGATGATAAAACTCAGGAGGTCGCCAATCTCTCAACGACTCCAGTTTTGCGATAGAAGCCACAACCGAAACATAGCCCTCCTTTGTGAACTTCACAGCATTGCCAACAATATTTAAGATTGTTTGTATAAGTCGTTTCTCATCACCAATAGCATAGGCAGGTAAATCTGGTGCCAAAATTAGTGTCATGGATAACTTCTTTACAGATGTGATAGGCTTTATCAAATTGACAACCTGTAATTAAGAGAGAAAGACCAACAACATCATCATTACATGAGTGTCGCAGATGTTCAACTTAAATCCAGAAATTTTATTACTTGATAATTTACCTGAATGAAAACCTCATGAAGATTAAACACCCCAGCATCTAATTCTAGGCTACCATCTTCAAGTCTAGAAAGATCTAATACATCATTAATAAGTGTGGCTAGTAGGTTGCTACTCTTGAGGATGGTCTCTATCATAACCCTTTGTTCTGGAGTGAGTTCACTTTCTAAAAGAAGTGAAGACAATGAAATAATCGCATGCATAGGTGTCCTCATTTCATGGTTCATGACAGCCAGGAAATCATTGCGAGCACGAATAGCCATCTCTGCCTCTTGGCGAGCTAAATTTAGAGCAACATTCTGCTCCATGAGCAGATCGTGGGCTCGCACAGACTCTTCTAGAATTGCAGCATGAGAAAGAGCAACAGCTACCTGGATAAAAGAAAACACTACATTGAGAACAAGAAAAACTAACTTACAAGCCATTTTTCTTTTTTTTAGTTAGTAATTGTTTTCCCAGTGTCAAATCAATTTCCAAATAATTTTCTCTAAATTTTGTTGCTAGAACTTGTGGTTAACATAGTATGGATGGTCATTGTTGATATTTATGGTTTATGGAGAAACATAGTCTACAAAAGTGATATTCCTACAAACATAACATAAAAACAATAGGCAGAAGAAAAAAAAATGCAAACATAGTCTGGTAGAACAAGCAAAACAGCGTTGCGCATTAATTTTTTTATTTTTTTTGTATACATTTACACAAGTTTAAGAAAAGACCAAATGGTGCTTGTGTTGTGTCACTCAAAATGAACCTCCAACTAGTACCAGTAATGATGAGCAGCAATTGAGTGGATTTGTTATTCATTTCACAGACAATGAAAACAAACCACAAACAAGAGAATGAATCCAACAGAATTACGTTACAAAATTTTAACCAAAACAGGCAATTATAACATCCACAGTAGGTTGACGAATAGCCACTTTAAAGCAAAGTATGAGGCAACAGAACAATAAAAAACCAGAAGAATAAAAAACCAGAAGGCAATCAAAAGAGGCACATGAAAAGACGAGTAGGTCATTAAAAACCTGGTCAGCAACAACTTCCACAAGTTCCAATTCATGGTCGCGCCATTTTCTTATACCATCCAAAGGGAGAATCAAAACCATCACAGCATAGCTTTTTGTAGAGAGCTCAGGCCAATCATTAATTTGGAAATTTGAAAGATGCAAAAGAGGAACCCGAACGGCAACAACTTCCGGTGGCACATATCTTCCTACTGGTCTAATCCTTGCCAATGGACACGTATGTGGAATTCGTATTGCTTCAGCACTATTGAAGACTTCGTTGACTATGGGAAGATTGATTGGCACAGTAGATCCAATGGGTATTAGATTGTTTAGAGTGTGAGAAAGTTGGAGATTCATGCCTCTTCGTAATGGCATCCACAAAGCGCATTCCTCCAGGTTCAAAGTCCTACCCAACTCGACAAGAGTAGTTTTCAGTATAGTGTGTCTGTCGAGGGTGCTTCTAATTTCATGAGTAAGCATTCGGACATGCCTTCCAGTTTGTTCTTGAGTAATAATAAGGCCCATCTCTCTGTCAAGCTCTTCAGCCTTATTCTTCAGAAATAGTTCCCGTGTTTTGACAGTTAGCAAATCAGGAATAATATGCACAAGCATCAGAGCTGTTGCACATGATACAACAGCAGTAGCAATTTTCGCTATGGTCATCACCACAGCAACAGTTTTAGAGTGCATAGTGAATGTCCACAAATTTATGAAGTGGGTTGCTCCACAAAGAACAATAAAAGCACCAAACTGCATTAGCACCCATCTATATGGGAAGATTGCTGATTTCTGAACAAAATAAATGAGCTCCAAGGGAATTGAAAAGTATGCAAATGCAATAAAGAAATCTGATATATATTGATATTTCACTAGGAGCTCATCAGCAGGCCATTGAGTCTCAATGCAGCAGTCAAAGGAGGACACCATTTTCCAGCAATTGGACCAACAAAGAATCTGAAAAACACAATAATTGTTTTAAATATATTAACCATAATTCGAGCTTTAATTCACTAAGTAGTTAAGAATTTACTTGCCCAAAGAGGTGACTTCCTAGTTGTAACAAGTGCTACCAAAAGAACATTTTTATTTAGAAGAACAGCAAAAATCAATGAACTCAATACTATCACAAGGAACATTGGAATTGGTTACATTTTGGCTTCACAGCATTGGTTTTTAAATGATGGTCTGCAAATCCTTAGCCGCTATATTTCATTGTTTTTGAAGCAGATTTCATGCCTTTGTCTCTGGCTCCAACTAGTGAAGATTACATTATTGGATGATCTTATTTAAAATTGACATAATAAGACACACGTAAGAGTACAAAATGTCAAAACTTGCCATCTCTATGTGAAAAGTAGATAGGTCCATTAGATTAAACACAAGTACAAGAAGTAACAGTAACATGGATGAACAGCTACAACACATTAGAGAGAAGACTTGATTGGGGCACCAAAGGAAGATCTGCCAATTTGCTAATAAAGATGCGAAGAACAAATCTTCTCTAACTGAGACTGAAATAAGAATACATGACTGTCCAATACATTTTTAACTTTTGCACTTGTTTCTTTCCAACTCAAAATCTTTTTTAAAAAATGTCTTCAAAAGTTGTAATAAAGAAATTTTTTCTGCAATCTCAATTAAGAATCTTCAGATGCTAACCTTTCAACTCTCGAGACTAAATTAACTGTGATTGACACCACCTTTAAGTATGGCTTCATTTCGGCTTAGCCAGATCATGATAAACATTCAATTCACGACAAACAAACTCTCTCCTCCGCAAACTAGTACTCAAATTCTTCAAAGTAATAGAATTTCTAACCCTAACGAGGTGAATAGCATGCAAATTGAAGTGAATTGTAACGAAATTAAAGATATTTAAGCCTATTCATCTCTGAGAACTAGGTTACTTTTTTTTCTTTTTTTTTTTTTCTTTCACATCATTTACACAGAGAGAGAGAGAGAGAGAGAGAGAGAGAGAGGACGCGATCTAAACACAGTATTGCCTCCATTTGTTGTATCAGTGCGAGGTCTGCGAGTTCTTTTCTAAGCTTTCACATCATTTACACAGAGGTGAAAATGGAATCAGAGGACGCGATCTAAACACAGTATTGCCTCCATTTGTTGTATCAGTGCGAGGTCTGCGAGTTCTTCTCTAAGCTTTCACATCATTTACACAGAGAGAGAGAGAGAGAGAGAGGACGCGATCTAAACACAGTATTGCCTCCATTTGTTGTTTCAGTGCGAGGTCTGCGAGTTCTTTCCTAAGCTTTCACATCATTTAGAGAGAGAGAGAGAGAGAGTAAAGTGGGGGAGGGGGCGCAAAGTGACGCGAAGAATTTGGGGGCATTTTCAATTGTGGGGCAGAGTTAGACGTTGGTACTCCTCCCATTTATTGATTGAAGGAAAATACATGCACCTTAAACACGAAAAGTTGAGTTGCTAAGTTTCAAACTTGAAAGGAGATTAAAATGAGGGAAATTGACCCAAAAATTTTAAAAGGTGGAATTGTAATTTAATAAATTTTATATTTAATTTTTTACATTTAAAGATCTCATTATTTGGGGTGGATAATTTTACTCATGAATGAATTGTTTTTGCTTTAGTGATATTATGTTTGATTGATGTAGGTGTGTGTAACGTTTGGGAAAAATTTACTATAACTTTTTTAGGATTTAGTATTTGTTCACGTTTTTGATGACCCACAGTGTGGTGGCCCACATCATTTCTTGAAGTCCACATTTGAAGACAACCCATTATTTTGCAGAAAACACAACTTCGTGGATCACATCAAGTAGATCAAATAGAAGTTGATGGCTCACTTCAATTTCACGAACCACATCGGAACTAACCGCACCGTTGCAGCCTCCAAAAATTGAGGATTTCAACATGCGATATGGTAGCCCACATTCAGAACCAACCCAAATGTTCCAACCTCACAAAATTGAGGATTTCAATCAAACCACATTCGGATCCAACCCAATCGTTTGAACCTCCAAAATTTCAGATTCCGAGCACATACCACTGATTTTGTGCGTTTGTCGATTGGGTTTTCATCGGAGCAACGTTTTTGTTGATTGGGTTTTCATCGGAGCAACGTTTTTGTCATTCTCATTTGGGGATTTTGTCAAACAGTTTAGCTTCAGCGTGGTTGAAGTTCATCGGTGTAGATTCTGTCAAAAAAGCTCATTTTTGTCATTTTCATCGGAGTAGTGGTCTCTATCTTCGGCGTTGTTGAAGTTCGTCCACATTCCACGTTACGGCAAGGCATGTATTCCAATCGACGTGAGCGGTGCCGTCCAACCCAGTTGTGGCAACCCAGTAGGTGTGGTTAATTTTTATTTGTGTGGCAGGTGTTGTGTGAATGGTTTACTCGTTTTTGTCATTTTCATCGGAGTAGTGGTCCCTATCTTCGGCGTTGTTGAAGTTCGTCCACATTCCACGTTACGGCAAGGCATGTATTCCAATCGACGTGAGCGGTGCCATACGTCCAACCCAGTTGTGGCAACCCAGTAGGTGTGGTTAATTTTTATTTGTGTGGCAGGTGTTGTGTGAATGGTTTGTGTAGATGGTTGGGGGTTGTGTGGTGTGGGGGCAATGGGTGTGGGATGGTTAATGTTGTTGATGTGGTTGATGTGGTGTTTCTGTTTTGTTACCAAACACATTACATACAATACAGGGGTTAAAAAGTAATAAAATCCACAACCCAACAATGCACGGGATTTGCTGGTAAATATTACCATACAAATAGGACTAGTGAGAGTATTAAAAAAAAAAGGGAATCTCTCAATCCAAAACTCTCCCAAATGGGATTTCCCGATAATTTTCCCTTAAAATAATGGGAAAATATCATGGTCGATAACAAAAAAAGGGAGTAGATTCCGTCTAGTTACAGTTGGGCCTGTAGGAGTCTATTACAGTCTTGTTTAAATAATTTGAATTGTTTGATGTGTATAATTTATTGAGTATTACAAAATTATAAAAAATCACATTGATCAGATATTGATAGTTATGTGATCAAATCAGTTTTGTATTAAACAAAATGGACAGTGAACAAATTAACAGTTAACAAAAAAAGATCCGATGAGATAACTATCGATATCCGATCAACGTGATTTTTTATAAGTATATAGTACTCGATAAGTTTTACACATTGAATAGCTTAAATTATCGAAACAGGATCCATGGTGAGCCCCTGCTACCCAACAACACTCTCTAATCCGATCTAAGACAGGAGGGAAGCTACTCCCTTAAAAAAAATGAAAAAATTATATTCAATTGATAAAATAGTATAATTTTATATTTTTTAAGTAGTAATTAAATGGAGATTTAATCAAAACTCTTTCACAATAAAATTTTAAGAGAAATTTGGCTATAAACCCCTTTTACCTTCCTTTCATTGTTAAAAGGACTAAGAAAAAAATTATACTTTCTAAACCCTCTCATAATTATAAAGTTTTGCATAAAGGACAAAATTTATTATTTAAATATTTTATTAGACTATTATACCCTTAACTAAATTGTCCCACCTTCTCCACCCACTCTCTCCCCACCTTCTCTGTCTCTCTCCCTTCTCTAACTCCTTCGAGCTTCAGATCTAGAAGCTCAACTATCGCCTCTGGAACTCCTACGTCGACCTCGCCAATGCCGCCGGCGTCCGATCCTCTTCCGCCGCTCCCTCCAACGAACACGCCAAGCTCCGCCACGTCTCCGTTGATTTGCTCTTCCTATGTATATGTGTATATATGTATTTATATATATGTGTGTGCGGCGGAGGAGTTTGGAGTGGAGGCGATGCCGACGTTCGTGTTGCTGAAGTAAGGGAAGGAGGTCGATAGATTCGTCGGGGCCAAGAAGGATGAGCACCAGATATTTTTTTTAAACACAGATATGAGTTTTGAATATATATATGTATATGTATATGTATATGTATATATATATAGATATATGTGTGTGTGTGTGTGTGTGTGTGTGTGTGTGTGTAAGTGTTGTTGAAGACATGTATTCTTTGAAATCAAAAGATAGAGAGATATTTGGATGTGTTCTTTGAAATAGTCACCTCAATTAGATTATGATTATGTTGATATTTGGATGTTTTTGTTTAATTTTTGATCTGTGTGTTTTGTGGTTATATATCCTTGTAATGGGGCTGTTTGGGAAGTGGTTTGGGTGGCTAATATAGCCCAAAAATGAAAATCAGCCCAAAAGCTTAACTGTAGCAAACTTTTGCTTGATTTTCAAAAAAAAAAAAAAAAAAATGATTTTCAGTCGGCAGCTGCAGCAGTGCAGCCTACACTGCCACCAACAGTGTAGGCTGCAGGTTTGCTAAATTACATTATTACCCCTATTCCTCAATCTTTTAAAAAAATAAAGTGAAGGGTAAATTTGTAATTTCAATTTAAACATCATTTCAAACACTTTTTTCAATACAACAATCAACCTAAAAATTTAACTCAACTTCCCAAATACAAAACTAAAATAACCTACTAAAATAGCCAAAAAGCCAAATAGCCTACTAAAATAGCCACTTCCCAAACGAGGCCAATATAGATTTGTGTTTTTATTAGTTTTTGAATTGATCTGATCATACTCAGCTTGTTTAATGGATGATCGATCTATCAAAATGGATGATCTATTCAATTTCTCTCTCTTTCTCTCTTTCTGATAAGAATCTCTCTAATAAGAATTTCACACAAAAATTTTACTAATCAGAGTAAAATTTACTTTGAATCAGAGTAAAATTTTACTCTGGTTAAAAAATATTAATTTGCTTAAAAATATGAATTTTTACTTTGAATCATAGTAAACTTTACTCTGATTCAGAGTAAAGTTTACCATGATTCAAAGTAAAACTTTACTCTGAAATTTTACTTTGGTTAAAAAACATGTTGATTTTCTCAGCAACCAAACTATATTTGATTTTTTTTGTTATGCTTATGTGATTTTCTCAGCAACCAAACATACATTTTTACTTTCATACAGAGTAAAATTTTACTTTTAGTTTCAGAATGTAAAATTTTACTTTCATACAGAGTAAAATTTTACTTTTAGTTTCAGAATGTAAAATTTTACTTTTATACAAAGTAAAATTTTACTTTTATACAGAGTAAAATTTTATACAGAGTAAAATTTTACTTTTATATAGAGTAAAATTTTACTCTGAAATATATAGTGAAGATGACTTAATAGGAGAGCTGATAGATATGAGAGTAATATAGTAAAAGAAACAAGTTTTAAAATATTAGGGGGTTTTGAAAGTACTTATATAATTCTTGTCATTTTGAAAGACAAATTAGATAGTGAGGGGACTATCACCAAATCCCCCAAATTTTAATACATTAAGGATAAATATAAAAAAAAAATTCTTGAAAAGTTCAACATATACCATTATTATCAAAATATTATATTTTAAAATGATATATAACTTTTGATGTAAATGTTGATTTTTAATAAAATTAGTATGTTTAAAATTCTCTCATTAAGATCTATCAAATAAGATCCATATTGATTACGAAATTCTTATATATATATATATATATATATTACCATCAAAATTGATATAAACAGTAACAATTTATATATATATATATATATTTTACTTTATTATTACTCAATTATGTGTTTTATCCTTAAGAGGTTTATGAAACAAAATAAATTGGACGGCCTTTTTCACCAAACAAGGATCCAATAGAGGAGTTTTGGCCAAATTTTCCTAATTAAAAAAAAATTATAATCAAACACAAATAAGATATGATTAAAAATCTCAAAATAATGTCATAAGAGCATCTCCAATGATAAATGTTATAATAGTATTATCATTGCTATAATTTGTCAATGAATAATAATAAATTGTCAAATTATAGCAACGGTACTCTAATAGTCACATGTCATTTTGGCAAATTTCAACCAATTTTTCCTCCAATTTTGTAAGTATTGCTTGGATAAATGTTTTTTAGTATTTTTTTTATTGTTTATTTTTTGTAACCTTTTTCAAATTTTTTCTAATAAAATTAAATATTTGCATTTTGTCTAACTAGACAAATAAAAAAAAATTAAAAATTGAAAACAAATTTACATTTATTTGAAAGAAAAAAAATTACTCTTATTGAATTATGTTTTTTTTCAACTGATTTGGAGCCAAAATTCTATTCACTGTGTTTGGTTTTAATCTTTTGGATTTAATTTTCTGAAAATTGAATTTTTTATTTTTCATATATTTTTTTTTAATTTTTAATGAATATTTTTAAAATTTTAAACAATTTTTTTACTCTTTTAGATGGTATCTAAAAAGTAAAATATTTGTAAAAAAATATTTTAAAAAATTAATAAATACAGTAAAATTTTACTTTTATACAGAGTAAAATTTTACTT